TTTTTTTTTTTTTTTTTTAGTAGCGAAGAGGTATTGCTCTTGCTCAGGCTGATCTCAAACTTCAGAGCTCAAGCAATCCACTCTCCTTGGCCTTCCAGAGTGCTAGGAATACAGGCGTGAGCCACATTATGCCTGGCCAATAAATTCATCTTTAATATAAGTATAGGTCAATATCATATAGCTTCTTTCCTCTTTTATTTTGTTTTGTCTTTATAGCTTTTTCAAGTGTAATTGATGTATAATGAGCTCCATATCTAAGATGTACAATTTAACAAGTCTTGTGGTAGCAAAACAATTACCACAATCAAGACCATAGCATTATCTACAATCCCCGGATGTTTCCTCGTATCCCTTTATAATTCCTTCCTCCTGTCCTTCTCTCTTGTCTTTGGGCAATCACTGACCTACTTTCTATTATAAGAGAGTCATTTGCACTTATTAGAATTTTATATAAATGGGATCAAACAGTACATACTCTTATTTAGTCTGGCTTCTTTCACAAAGAATAATTATTTTGAGATTAATCCGTGTGGTTGGGTGTATCAAGAATTCATTCCTTTTTATTGCTGTGTGGAGCAGATTTGGCACAATTTGTTTATACATTCACATGTTGATAGGTGTATGTGTTGTTTTCTAATTGTGCCACCACAATCTAATTTTCATCATCCCCAGAAGGTCCTGCCTGTTTGTTGTTGCTAGCTCTTCCAACTCCCAATCTCAGGCAACCGCTAATGTACCTTCTGTCTCTGTAAGTTTGCCTTTTCTGGAAACTTAATATAATGGAACCATCCAATAGGTTCCATTTGCATCTGGTTTCTCTCATATAGCAAAAGGTTTCTGAGGTGTATCATGGTTCAGCATGGATCAGCAGCTGGTTCTCTGTATTTCCAAATAATATTCCATTGTGTGAATATGTCACATTTTTGTTTCTCTCTTCACCAGTTAGTTGGTGGACCTTTGGGTTGTCCACTTTGGGGCTATTCTGTATAATGGTGCTGTGGTCATTTGTGTACAAATCTTGGTGGACGCTTGTTTTCATTTCTCTTGGGTGGTAGTGAAATTGCTAGGTCATATGTGTTAAAAATCTAGGCTTAACTTTTCTAAAAACGATTTTCCAAACTGTTTTCCAAAGTGGCTGCAACATTGTACATTCCCAGCAGCAACTTATGCAGGTTGACATATCTCCACGTCCTCAGCAACACTTATATCAAATAATTATCTTGTCAAAAAATCATATCTATAGGCAATGATGGGGAGTTGTCAAGTATAAACTGGGGAGTCCCCTCCTGTTGGAGGATCACAGGTCCAGGAGACCCTCTGGCTGACTGATAATAAAATTTTGGAGGGGGGCACAGAAACACTTGTTTTCTGGCTAAAATACTTCCTGTCTATACTAAGAAGCAAGCCCTACTTCATTGCAGAAATGAACTAGATGCTATTCTTCTTAATTAACAAGGCAACCTAAAGCAAGATTCTAAAAACTACATCCTTCCATTCTAAATAGTTCATTTTCTTGTGCAAAGGCTGCTTGCATTGTGCCTTATGAAACCTTGGAAATAGAGATAATGTATTGCAGAAAATAGTCATGGCTATTTTATATTAATCTAACATTTTACTTGTGAAAAAGCATACTGCAGGCACGAGAGTCCTGTGTAGTTTATTCAGGCAAAATTCTGTGTCGTTTTCCTCTACGGCTAGTTTAAAGGACACCTGAGATTTAGTAGAGCATTACACAAATATAAATATTAAAAAGAAAATATAATGTGCACTGTAATTCGCAGAAGCTACATTATTTACTAAGTCTGGTGGTTGCTCAGTCAAAATGGGCAGAATGAATCTGGCCTGAGACTAAATTTACCTTTTTTTTTTAGGGGACTAAAATGATAACAAAATAATGCCTTAGTGTTGTAATAAAATGTTGTCAATTTTATTAAAAGCTGATGAATGACTTCTTCACAGAGTTAAGTAAAAAGTTTCTTTCTTGCTTTTTGTTAAAGACCATTTCATTGTATTATTTTGGAAGAGTGAGTTGGCTCAGCAACACCATTACTAATGAAGATACGTACAAAGTTAGCACCACACATCTATAAATGCAGATAGCCACAATGACTGCCCAATATGTACAAGTTCCCTTTACACATCCACACATATATTTACAGCTAATAAATAAAATTTATGGCCAAAGCATCACTGAAATATATATAATCAAAGTCTTTAGAAGCCAGAGTTCCCAGTGCCACGTGCTGATTTTGTGAGTTAACGCTCCCTGGGTCAAAACCCAAATCCAGAAACTTAATGAACCAGCAATAAAGGGGAATGCCAACAAGAAATCTTACATCATTTTATTTTTAGAGAGAATTCATTCCACGCCTGATGGGGTCAATCACAACACTGGTCCTGCATTATATGTGCACGACCATATTTCTCGGGCTGAACTCCTGGCACATCTGGAACCATTTCTACTCCAACATGACCTAACACACCGTGGATCGATTCCTTTACTTTCCAAACCATGCTGAATGATAATCACACGCCTTATATATGAGTATGTGTTCAGATACGCACACACATTCACAGTTTGGGTTCCCAGCAATAGCCTCTGAGATATTTGACTTGTTTTTTTATCATTATATATTTATACATAGAAAAGCATTCTGAAAATGTGCGATCTAGTTAATAAATAATTGTCCACTCACTCTTGATTGGTTGTTAAGAACAACAAATAGCAACCCTCAGGGCATGTGGCTACTTGCACACAATGGTTTATAAGCACTGTTTGTTATTAATAATATGCCCCAGAAACTTCCCCACCATTTTACTTAGTAAAAACGGTCTTCGATTAAACTTTGTAGAAGCCTGCACGATGCAAAATTTCAACTTGAACACATTTTTCCTTGTCAAAGCCAGGAAGAAAAGACTCACCCTCAAAGTATAACTGAAGTGTGAGTGAGACAAGCCTGGAATTGATTAGGAACTATTTGATATTGAATGATTTCAGGTTGATGAAAATAATTTGGAAAACCCGATAATAAAAGTATGGTATCATTTTTCTTTCTGCACCATTCCAATTATGTGTTGGCTGAGGGTTCCAGGTTCATTTTCAACACCTGTCCAGAGAACCTTTTTTAAATATAATCTTGAGACAGCAAAAGGGAGGGGAGAGACAGAGGTTAATTAAACAATAATCTGCAAAGTCTGTTAAGAATGAATTGATGGAAAAGGAAGAATTAATTGATCTCAATTTTATACTTCCTTTAACTTTCAACTTTGTCATAATGCGAACCAATGACGGTGACTGAGGCTCACTATTTCATCAGCCCATTCTCCGTCCCTCTCTCTAAGTCACATGTTCCTGGTTAATTCCTGGGCCATATCCCAAAGACAAAGGGAGAACCATTGCAAAAAATCAGGCGTTTCAACTGCCAAGTTGCACATGGGTCTGACTCAGGACACAGAAAACCATTTTCTATATTCAGACTCGGGGAAAACGTTGAGAAGGCATCAGTCCAGAAAAATCCAGAATTTCAATTAAAATAGGAGGTTCTAACCAATGTTAGGCTATGGCCCAAGACGCCACATGGAAGACTCTTATTTTACTGTGGGCCCAAACAATTCTTTTCTTAAAACGTAGTGCTTTTCACACTGGCTGCTTTTAACGCTGGAAGATGTGGACTGTTCTCCTCCAATGGAATTAGCCACTGTTTAGTATTTTGAGTCTGTCTCCTAAAATAACTAACAAGAATATAGCTGGGATTAATACTCAGGAAAGATATACTTTTAAACACCCAAAGCATGGGCCATCTTTTGTAAAAGTTGCTTCATTGATTTCATTCTTCACAGAATTCATGTCCTGCTCTTCTTTCTGGAGCTTTGCTCAGTTTCTGGGAAAAAGCAGAAGAAGAAGGGAATTATTATCCCCTTAGTGTCTTTACAATCTCCTCCCCTCCCCCACCACTTTTGAAACAAAAAGTATTCAACTGGAAATCGGGAATGAAAGTTATGAGGATAAACCCAGGGAAGAAGTGGTTCATGGTTCCCAGAAAGTGGCAGGTTCCTAGGAGTGAAGGGCACTCTTACAATGGTCATTTCCAAAGGACTGAGCCCTATGATTTCAGAATTTAGAGGATTTCTTATTCCTACAATGTATCAAATGAAAAACTAGTTCTACTTCTTTTCTTGGGATGTGAGACTGGTGAAGAACGAACAGAAGATGTGAGCAATAGAATCTTTCATTTAATTCACTAACTTCAGTCACAGAGGAAAGAAACTACAGAAGGTTATCAGTCTGATTCACGATGACCTCCTCAATCAAGTTCAAGTGTGTCTTTTTTTTAAGCTGGTTACATATCTGTCGTTTCAGTAGTGCTATAACCAGATGAGCAATGTCTCATTAGACTGACTGAAATAAATTCTTATAACTTATATAAGTTTATATAATTTTGGCTAAAGTACATTACTTAAACATTAATTTTTAATTCAACTTGTTAATACATTGTTAAGGATATTGCACCCTCATTTATAAGTGTAATATGTTTGTAATTTCCCCTTTATAATAATACATTTTCTCCAATTTTAGTATCAGGCGTATCCAAATTAAGTAAAACGATTTTGAAGTATTTCTTCTTTTTCTATTGTCTATAAGATTTGGCATGATCTGTTTTTTGAAATTATCTTTTACTTTTATTTATAAATATTAGTTGTCTATTTTTTGAGACTTTGGAAAAAAATAATAAGAAGAAGTTAACTGATGATTCCATACTGAACCTCAGAGTCAAAGCATTCTATAATAGACATACTCTTATTTGACAATGTGAATGTTACTTTCTTTGCATTATTATTATTATTGCTTAATATTTCAATGCAGCTATCATCTGATTTCTTTTCTGGATGTATTTATCTTCATTCGTTCTTTATGAGGTTTTTGTTTCTAGTCCTTTAGTCAAACATTGTTATTGTTATTAAATTTTAAGCCTTCTTAATTCTGTGAAGGCAAACGTGGAAGCCTAATAAACACATGTATATGTAAGAAAAATAAATAAAAAAACTTATATAAATAAGATGGCCAAGTGCTTTATAAACAGCTGGAGTTCCTTTCTAATTCGGGGGGATTTTATTTTTGTTCTCACATACAGATTCAAAGTTGTAGATGATCTGAAAAGAATACGTGTGTTAGTTGTGTGCAAAATAAAAGCATGTGTAAAATTTAAATCTAGGAGTCCCTTTCTAAGAACTGGAGAAAATAGGAAATTCTCTGAGAAGACATAAAGCAATAAGCACTTAGTGAAAAGAATTAATTATCCTGCCTCACTCAATACTGGTAAACTACTCTCATTTCAAATTTATCTTGAGCGGTCTTACATTCATGTTTTGGAACCATATGGTCTCATCTTGTCATTCAAAGTATATATGCCATAGGGTGGCTGCTATATGCCTGTGGCTCATTGAGTAGGGTGCCGGCCCCATATACTGAGGGTGGCGGGTTCAAACCCAGCCCTGGCCAAACTGCAATAACAACAACAAAATAGCCGGGCATTGTGGTGGGCGCCTGTAGTCCCAGGTACTTGGGAGGCTGAGGCAGGAGAATCACCTAAGCCTAAGAGCTGGAGGTTGCTGTGAGCTGTGACTCTACAGCACTCTACCAAGGGTGACAAAGTAAGACTCTGTCTCTAGAAGAAAACAAATGTATATATGCCATAATTCCACTTTATAGAAGATTAAAAAACATAAAAATTGTATATAATAAAGTCTAGAAGGACATAAACCAAAATATTAATTAGGGTTGTCCCTTGGGGATAGGGTCACAATTGATTTTATTTTTTGCCTATTTTCCCCTAATTTATTTGTAATAAGTAAATTATAATTTATTTATAATGTATATATTATATCACAAAGTAGAAATTAAAAATTTTGTTCCACAAAGGGTCTTTAAGGTACTTTGCTCCAAACAGGTGATTCTTACTCAGTACTTTTGTCTATAAATGCAAATATGAAAAAGGAACAAACCAAAGTGATAGCTTTTCTCATTTGCAGATTAAACTGCATCCAGCCTTTCCTATTGGTTCTGGCTTGTTTCTGGTTTCCCTTGTGTCACTGGCTTGTATAATATGACCTCATGTTTCTCCTCTTTGTACCTGTAAGCCAGTAGCAATTGGCATCTGGCAGGGCAACAAGTGGAGGAATGAAAATGACATGGTCCAGGAATTCAGGAGGGGACTGGGGAAGGTCACATGCTTGGTCTACACTTAGCACTGACGCTCTGGAAAGATTCCGCTGCCAGCTGCCATGTGGATTAGCCTTAAAGGTCAGGAAGGAAAGAGCCAGAGAGTTGTTCTGAGATAGAAAAAGGAATAGCCTCCTATGTTCTCAGTCCACCAGCTCCCCATCTTTGGGGGTTTTGGCCTGCCCCTTTGGCTGTATGTCCTGGAGTCTGCTGGCATTTCGAGAATCAAGGCATCTGGGGCTGCAGCTGATACAATAAGATGTTTTCCTTCCTCGGCTACAATGGCAACTCCTAAGCTCCTGCTCTGCGCTCTGCGGAAAGCATCCATGAAGGCAGCAGCGATGCAGCAGAAAGAAAAGCAGAAGTGAAGATTTGGGGGCAGTGGGAGAAATAAAATACAAGCTAAGAAGTGTGCCTTGGATAAAGAGCAGAGATAAGGGGAAAAAAAGAAGCACTGCAGAAAGCACTGCATCTGATTCAGGTGCAGAGGACTGAGAAAGATCATTTATCAAGAGTAGAACATAAACGTCTTAATGCAAGAATTAAGTAAATGAGGTGAAAGCTATGTTGCTTAGTTTGATGTAAGCACTCCAAATTGTATAAAAAAATCAAAACACTGTACCCCACACATGCATAAATGTATGTATGATCTATGTGTATATGACTTAATAAAAGGAAAAAAAAAAAAAAAGAATCAGCACCGGCCTTTGGTGGTAGGGAGGGAGGCTGAGGCTGCTTCCCTCGGGATGCGAGCACAGAGACTCACCAGCCAGACTTTTTATTCAGGGACTTGTCATGGCATTTCACGAATACTGCCGGTGTCTTTCCTTTCTGTAGATGTGACACCTTCTCCCTGGAGCAGAAGATCACCCTGTTCGGGAAAACGGACATGAACACACCAGGTGGAACAATACAAATGACTGTTCAGAAATGTACAGGGCTGTTTACAATCCACATGGTCATGCTGATTAAATGCTTGGACATTTCCAATAATGAACTGTAACACTCAGGCCACACCTGAAGCAGAAGGTTATTTGAGAACCTGACCTGGGGTTCAGCATACAAACTATCTAATCAATTTAGACAGGCATGCAAAGAGCTCGGAGGAGCCTGACACTACTAGGCTTTCTCCGAGAGAGGATACAGGACTAACTCTACCACCTCCAGGCCTCAACATTACAGAATTAGGGAATCGGCTCTGCTAGAGAAACCAAGATTCTGCACAGCCTTTTCCGACCAACCCTTTTTCTGCTTATAAAAGCAAATGACTAAAGAGAAATATTATTTATCAATCCTAATTCAAGGAGTTATTTTCATTAACACTAATAGCACACTACAGTTTGCAAAAATCCCTGCACATTTAGTATATGTAAAAGTTTTAAATCCTATGGGGTTCTCTGTGCCATTGATTTTATAGATGCACTTGGCTGAGGTTGGGAAGACAGGTTGAGATTATCTTGGAATCTCATCCTTCTTGAAGAGGCCAGTTTGAATCTATGAATGTCAAAGTCACATCTCTGAGGTTTGTTCCCTTAGCTATCGGGGGCTTGAGATAGAAAAGGGAATATTCTCCTATGTTCTATGTTCTCAGCCCACCAGCACCCCATCTGTATGTCCTGGAGTCTGCTGGCATTTCGAGAATCAAGGCATCTATGACAGGCAAAATCCCCGCTCTCACTCTGAATAACAGTGATCAATTCAGGGCTGATGTTCTCCTTCTGTGAACTGTGGAAATACTATCACTCCCCAGCATGCAAGGAATACTCGTAAAGAAAATTCTAGGTGGAATTATTTAGGGAAGGCTTTCTAAAGGTTCATCTGAATGTTGAGAGCTCCTGAAATACTGCCCCTAGGGAGTGACATCAGGATGAGTCTGAAGTGAGTAGAGGAAAATGAGATCATCGATAATTACTTTTTTTGAGTCTCTCCTGCTTTTACTTTGATTTTCTCAATAGCGAAGCCAGGGCTGCTCCACCAGTCTGACCAGCCAAAGTAGGAATCACTGTTCCATTTGAGCTTCAGCATCAGCAGCTCTCCAATATCGACCTCCGTGTAAATTAGGAATGAGTATGTCTTATTTGTGGAAACTTCTGGCCTGAGTTTAAAAAAAATAAAAAAAACTTGGTTAGTTCTGCAAATCAACTTTTCTCCCCCTTTTTTGAATTCTCCCAAGATGTAAATGGCTTTATTGTTTGGGGGATACTTTAAAAATGCAAAAAATGTTCAATAAAACACTCAAAATGAAAGTCAATGGCATTTGTGGTATTTAAAAAGATATCTGCATTCCTTCAGTCTATTCCAGCTTTTATACTAACGACATTAAGTTCTTTTTAAAAAATTAAATATAATTCTTAAAAAATTCATAAAGCATTCAGAAATATAACTTTCATTTTTATACCTTTCTTCACTTCCTATCAATATATGAACATTTTCTTTCTTTCTTTTTTCTTTTTGAGACAGAGTCTTAAGCTGTCACCCTGGGTAGAGTGCTGTGACATCACAGCTCACAGCAACCTCCAAGTCTTGGGCTTATGCAATCCGCTTGCCTCAGCCTCCCAAGTAGCTGGGACTACAGGTACCCGCCACAATGCCCAGCTATTTTTTTTTGGGTCATAGTTGTCATTGTTGTTTGGTGGGCCCAGGCTAGATTTGAACCTGCCAGCTCCAGTGTATGTGGCTGGCACCCTAGCTGCTTGAGCTACAGGCGTCGAGCCAATATATGAACATTTTTACTTAGTCACAATCATAATACACATATAATTCTCTATTCATTCTTTGTTTCCTTCATTTTTTTTTTTTTGAGACCGAGTCTACTCTGTTGCCCCAGGCTAGAGTGCAGTGGTTTCAGTCTAACTCACAGCAACCTCAAACTCTTGTGCTCAAGCGATCCCCCTGCCACAGCCTCCTGAGCAGCTGGGATTACAGGCACTCACCACAATACCCAGCTAATTTTCTTTTGTTAGTAGAAATGGGGGGGGGTCTCCCTTTTGCTCAGATTGGTCTCAAACTCCTAAACTCAAGGGATCTTCCTGTCTTGGCCTCCCAGAGTTCTAGGATTACAAACATGAGCCACCACGTCCAGCCATGTTCTCTTCATATTTGATCTTCTACTTTTTCCCTCACTTTACTTAGTTTACTAAATTTGTATTTTTTTTTTTAATTTTTATAGAGACAGTCTCACTTTACTGCCCTTAGTAGGGTGGTGTGGTGTCATAGCTCACAGCACCTCCAACTCCTGAGCTTAGGCAATTCTCTTGCCTCAGCCCCCCAAGTAGTTCAGACAACAGGCATCCACAACAATGCCTGGCTAATTTTTGTTGCAGTTTGGCCGAGGCTGGGTTCGAACCTGCCACCCTCGGTATATGGGGCCGGTGCCCTAACACCCACTGAGCCACAGGCGCTGCCATAAATTTATATTTTTAAAAGCTGGATAGATTTTACTAACTTAATAAACCACAGTTCATTTAACCATCAACTCCATGGTGGATACTAGGTATCTAATTGTGCTTTTATGTGTGCCACTGCAATAAATGGGCCATAGTTTACATTATAAAACAATTTATTGACACTCTTTTTATGAAATTAGAAAAATTGCTTCATTCAAATTTTGGTTACCCATTTCTTTATAATACAGATTAGAAAAAAATACTTCATTTCATGTAACAATGTCATATAGCTGCAGAAAGTGATTGCCATCTGCCTTCCTCACCCAGAGGGGGCTCTATCAATGAATCTTACACTCAGTACTGGACACATGTACCTTATCACATTAGCACTGGGTATTTTAAAAGATTATTCATTTAGGGTGGCTCCTGTGGCTCAAAGGAGTAGGGCTCTGGCCCCATATGCCGGAGATAGCAGGTTCAAATCCAGCTATGGCCAAAAAAAACTGCAAAAAGATTTATTCATTTAGTAATTATGAAAGGGCATCATACAGTTGCCTTATTTTTTTTTCTTTATCAATAGTAAGGGGTAAACCTTGTCATGGGCTTTTTATTTCTTATACTTCTATATGCATTATATGAACATCTGTTTACTGACAGGTTTCCTATTATTATTGTTCATTTTCTTTAAAGTCAAAACTTTCAAAGGAATTTCATTGTTGTTCCATTTCAAACAAATATAAAAGAAAGGAAGAGATATAAAATTACAAAATTTTATTAAAAATTTTAAATTTTCAAAAATGTCTTTTATAAAATTATAAAAGGAAAGAAAAATATGAATAGTAAATAAAAATAAAATGGCCAAATTCAAGAATTTTTTTTCTAACTCTAAAATAAAACAAAAGCATGGGCAGCACCTATGGCTCAGTGAATAGGGCACCGGCCCCATATACCGAGGGTGGTGGGTTCAAACCCAGCCCCGGCCAAACTGCAACAAAAAAATAGCCCAGTGTTGTGGTGGGTGCCTGTGGTCCCAGCTACTCAGGAGGCTGAGGCAAGAGAATCGCCTAAGCCTAGGAGTTGGAAGTTGCTGTGAGCTGTGACACCACAGCACTCTACCAAGGGTGATAAAGTGAGACTCTGTCTCTAAAAAATAAAATAAAACAAAAGTCTCAATTTTGAAATGCCAATTTCTTGAACTAGACACTTATTTTCTGGGTGTCCCAGACTACTTCTGTTTCTCAGACTAATGGCCAGGACAGGTAAGAGTGCCACAGTGAACCCACACACAAAGGCTACTTACAGGGTGAAAGCAATGTTCTCACTCTCAGCCACTGTGCCATACAGAGAAATCTCGAAGGCCTGGTTGCTGTGTGTCTCACTTTCAGTCCCAGAGAAACGAATCTTTACTTGGTAATGGAATACTGTAGGGGGAGGAAATTGGAACATACACCAATCAATCATTATAGATACACCAGAACCCCTAAACAATCCATTCAAAACCCCAGAACATATCTCGCTAGTGCCCAGAACCATCAGCGTGGTTTAAAAAGATTTCTTTATACTAGGTAGTGTTTATACCTAGAAAATGTAGATCTTCGATTTGATTCCTTTTCAGAAAAGTGTGGCTTTAATGAATGGGAATAATCCCAGTGTGTCTGAATTGTCAATCAATCCTAGGAAGTAAGCCATCTTTGATAGGATGTGAAGAAGGTCAAATAAAAGGCCAAAACTGCCAGGACATTTTTCCCATGAACGCTACCCTCCTTGGCTGTCTAGCCCTTTAACATCTGAACCAAGCACATTTGGTGTTTGTTACCATGTCACCGTAAGTGATCATGTTTCTTCTTGTTTTGTGGGTAGGTCTGCCCTCCCACCCTGACCATAAGCTCCTTCGGGTCAGAAGATCATGTGTATCCTCTGAATCCCCCACCACCTAACACAGAGTGTGTACGCAGTAGGCTTCATAACAATGATTACTTCACAGAACCATCAGTGAGGCCGCAAGGACTGCCTTGCAAAGCCATTTCCTTGTGTGTTCTATACTAATGAGAGCCTTTGGAGGAAGGCCCTTAAACCTCTACATCTGCTGCTGCTTTCCATCTCTACCAAAATCCCTGAGCAAATGAGAAAGGGAAGGCTACAGGCCTGAATTACAGCCACCATGATGGGGAAGCTAGAGTTATCAGGATGCGATGTCTTCAAGAATATCCCAAGACCTTGGTCAGATGTTTTTCTTATTTGTGACTCTGTCTATTACATGTGCTTACTCTTAAGCTAGGATGTGGATTTCTTAATGCTACTTGTTTAGAATTTGGCCAACTATATTTCTATGCTGCTTTAGCCACATCCTAAAGAAAAAATTGTGAACCCATTTTGCTGCTGTGAGCTCCTGATGACACCCTCTATTTTACTTTGACCCTCTCTCTCTCTCTTTTTTTTTTAATTATTGAGGATTTATCAAGGGTACAGAGAACCAGGTTACACTGATTGATTGGGTTTGTTAGGTAAAGTCCCTCTTGTTATTGTGTCCTGCCTCCTCTTTCTGTAACAAAAATAAGTACTCAGATCATAAAAAACAACATCAACAACAAAACCTTACTGCTACTAAGAGGTGAGGGGAAATTGGGTTGGGGTAAAACAGAGCCCTTGCAGGCCAGGCCACGTTAGAGCAGAGGAAGCTGGCAGTGTCGAGGTGCCCCCAGCAGTCACTGATGGAGCCATGAGCGCACAGGTACAAGATGAGAGGTGAGGGAGACATGTCTGTCTTTGAGATTATGGTCCTCTCTACCCCCTCCATACTCCCTTGTTCCACAGAGCAGGTAAATGGAGGTTTCTTCATTGCCTAAAAGGTTTCCTTGAACTACAAATGCTCCAGCCTCTATGCCACCAACACACCTCTGCAGATTCTAACAACTCAAGTTACAAATTGGCACGATGGCAGATAAATTCTACCCTGGGAAACTTTTCTTTAACAGAATCTCTTCCCTCAGGCTTCTATTGGTATTTCATATAAGTCAGCCTTTCTGAAGTTACTCCCCTCTTGCCAGAGACATCTGATTACCTGCCCTCCCATTTCCCTACCCGCCATCCCTTTAGATCTTGCTCTAAACAACATGCCAAGCTTGAAATTCAAGGGGAAAACAAATCATGGCAAAATGGAAGTATCTTAGAAGACCTGGTACCCTCTTGCCTCCCAGGCACAGTCATATTTAAAAGTATAGATGGTTCTTGCCTTCATGTAAAGCAAATGTTATAAATGGCAAACTTTCTGTGAAGGTCCAGGTTGTGAATATTTTAGGCTCCGTGGGCTGTATGGTCTGTCTCAACTATTCAACTCTGTTGTGGTGGCAGAAAAGCAGGCTTATCCAATATGAAAATGAAATGTGTGTGGCCCTGGTCTAATAAAACTTTATTTACAAAAGCAAGAGTTAGACTGGATTTGACCCTTTCTAAACTCCAGGGTTTGCTGACCCCAGGTAGTTGGTTTCACATTGGCTCTGAGCCTCGTACTGATGCACTGTGCCATGCTAATGGTCCCAGTGACAGAGGAAGGTGGCACTTGCCACCCTCTTAACCAGGCTGATCAATGCAACTCCCTCTCTTCATCAACAGAAGCACAGTGAGGGCTCAGGGTTCAGTAACATTATGTATTCTCTCTGTTCCAGTGGATGGAGTCCATGGGTGTAATAAGAATGGGACTAACAGATTTCCTCACTTACAGTAGCCTCCAGCCTACCTTTGTAAGGCATCTGCGAACGAGTCTTCAGGTACATTTTGCTGCTTCTTTTGGATCTGACCTTATTGATCTCATAGCCCAGATTATTGCAACGGTTCTTTCTGCAACTCAGGCAGAGCCCTTTGTCAAAAGCTTCCTTTGAACTGCACCGATAGGCCTTACTTGGGTTTTCTTCATTCAACAGGGAGTCGATGAAGAGATGAATGGAGCGCTCATGGGAGCACTTCACTAGTTGGTCCACATCTGGGGAAGAGGAGGCACAAAGAACATTCAACTCTGAGGAAATCCACAATGAGTGTTTCATTTTGAGGTTAATACAGGTTAGGGGTGGAGCTAGAATAAAAGGACCCTAGGATACAGGCCTATGCATCTGTGACTGTGAGAGCTATTTTAGGAGGTCTTCCTGGTGGCAGCTGCTCACCTATGTCCAAGATTATGAAAGCTGCAAGTTCACAGGGCAGCCTGACTTTTCTGCTGTTGTATATTTATGAGTACGTTTATGCAACCATAGTAAGAGATATCTAAGGCAGCAGTTAATTTCCCTCTTATATCTCCTGTTTTCTTTCTTTCTAACCCTAACCCTAAAGCATCCTTCTCTTACAATGAAGGTATCTAATAGTCTAGGTACTTAGAGAAACATACAGTGCTTTCAGAAACCACATCATATAAGGCATAATCATTGAATAGTTTTTTATCATAGAAATGTATAATTGAGGATAGTGCCCCTACTCATGCTTTTTACATCAAATGAGCCATAGAAATAATCACCAATGTCATAAGAACAGATTTATTACCATAAACTTTTAAAACAATTGAAAATAATAATATTACGCTGAAAAGTAATCGGCATGTTGGTTGTAGGTAGGTCCCAAAGTCCATAACGTATGCAAAGCTAATGTGATTTTTAAAGTAAACATTAAGCTAATATTAAATTATTCTCTCCTGGGTGGCGCCTGTGGCTCAAGGAGTAGGGCGTCAGCCCCATATACCAGAGATGGCGGGTTCAAACCCTGCCCTTGCCAAAAAACTAAAACAAACAAACAAATAAACAAATAAATATTCTCTCTTGTTAGAATTTTGGAAGACTTATTGCAACAGGGTGGAGATTTGTTTCTGGTTTGTCCATCTCTTTAAAAGGCCAGCAAAAGCAATTTGGACTAATGAACGCATGTTTTCACTTTCAGTAAAATCTGAACTCTTTCCATCAGCTTTGCGACTACATTCAAAGTATGACAAGATGTGTCCAGATGACATTTTACAATGCTATTATCATGGTCAGTGGCATTTCCCTGTCTAAATCCCATCTTTACTTTCTCTTGCTACTGCCAATGTAGCCTACAATATAATAAATAAAAGGCAAAATGGCTAGCTGCCTGGTGCTAAGGCGGCAACACTGAACACAGCAATATTCTTCATAAACATATTTTGGCCGAATGCATATACAAAAATGGCATGCTTTGGTGGGCCTGGGTAGGTCACTGGGTCAATCAAAGCTCAGGACAGAACTCACATTTAGTTCACGGCTCAATGGTACTTACCTCCAAGGCCTCTCTCTGCAATCACCCGGATAGCTTCCCCAATGTTGCATCCTGGTTGAAAAGTGCCGCCATTTGGGTAAATGTCAACGTGCCCTACTGGCTTCTGGATTCCAATACTTCGACCAGGGGACCCTCTGGTGAATGTGTGTAAGACATCTACAAAATACGCGTCATCAGGAGAAAGGCGACTTGGAGCTTCTGCGTACTCAAAGTTGGGTCCTGCTGGATCTAAGCCTTAATGGGAGAAGAAGAACCCTCAGATGTTGAAATCTCCCTTAATATGACATCAGCATACTACTGCCCATCATTTGAATGCAACTGGCAGCCACTTAGACACTCATTAGCTCCTCCTATTCTACAATCATCGATCTTTAAATTACTGAGTCATAAAAGTAAGCCTCGCTCCTTCTAAAATGATTTTGAGTCTCATATACTAGCCATCATCTAGTGATTTTTCACTCAGGATGGCTGGATTTCCTTTTGTAAATTACTTCTGAATTTGCTGAGGAGACCTTTTAACAGTGGTGAGTTCTCTTTCTCTCTCTCTCCCTCTCTCTCTGTGTCTGTCAAACCTTTGCCTAGGGGACAGTCTTCTTTCCAAATGGCCTCTGGAGTGAGTCCTTTTTATTCTTCCTAGTAGTGATGTGAGAAGTGACTACATATGTACAATGTACTACCAGGCTTCTCAGAGAAATCTGCGGCCATTCTGTGAGTAACTCATTCTGTTTTATTTCTGTGCTGTTGCTGGTAGATGGTGAGACCCTGAGAACAAGCCTCTATATTTTATTTTACACCCAAAAAGAGCCCTAGAGTGTGATAGTCAAGGGCCAAGTTTAGCCCCCAGAAAAACATCACACTTGTGAGTATTTAACAAACGTCAGATTTTCTTTCAGAATCAGGACCATCTTGACTCTTGTGATAAGACCATGAAACTGCTTCCTTACCAGTAATTCTGTTCACCTTCTTGTTGGTCAGACTCCCTGCAATACCAGCAGCATGGGCTCCAAGGCTGTATCCCAAGAGATGGACATTGTCCAGAGGATAGTTAAATTCCTCCTTTGGAAGAGAATAAGGAAAGAAAAAAAGGTTCTTAGAGTTCTTTGCCAAAGACCAAAACTAAAGGAAAAAAAATGAATCAATATATTGTTTTTGAAATATAGACAATACTGAAAATGAATTCTATTTATTTTAATTTTGTGTTATGCATAAGAGAAAGAAACATATTCTTTAATGTTGATAGTTTCTTTTTCTTTAACAGCAGATTGCAATTAGGAAGTTTTGCCAAACATCTGAAACAGTATTATTTACATATATGGTAGAACCTTCATAGTGGACCACCTCCCTACACTGACTACCTCCTTAAGTTGACCTAATTTACATAGATTGAACACCAGACAGGCATTACATGAACATATGAGTACAGTAGGCCTAGTTCCTTATGTTGACAACCTTATATGTTGGCCAGTTTGTTACAGTCCCTTAGGTGGTCAACTTACAGAGGTTCTACTATGTAATTTATGCATGCATACATATATGTATGTGGGCATATATATACACATTTATAAATATACAAATGTATATTTAACTGTACCTCATTATTCCCTATTGTAAATACACTACATACATCACTTTATTCTTAAAGGCTAGCCAACCAGTGACTTATAATCAGAAAATATTATAGTGGGAAGGGATTAGCACACAAGGTCCAGCTTCTTCATTTAGCAGGTGGTAAGCCCAAGGCTCAGGAACATGATTAGATTTGCCCAAATTCACTTGTCCAGTTAGCAAAAGAGCCAAGAAAAGAGCTTTGTCCTTTGATGGCCAACATGATAAACAGCATTTACCCTCCACTTATTTGGTTTAAATAATTTGGTTCTGCCAGAGTTACCTTCCTTCCAAGCCCAATATACTTTTCAAAGGTACTTTTCAGAGAATAGCCTGGAATAGTAGGTCCCTTGCTGCTAAATCAGAACTCTGGAACCTGGGCCCCCTCAAATCCTAAATACCTTCCCGGTTGTGGTCTTCTAAACCCAAATCCATTACTGCCTCAATGCTCAACAAAAATCTGCATCCTTAATCGACACCAAAAAATAAATATTATTAATATTTTCTTCAAGGAGGATTGGTAGTCTAACAGAAGTCAAAGCCAGGATAAAATTCCCATGTCCCAGCCAAGTGGTGGGGAAGGACTGGCAGAACCTGCCACCTTCCCTCCGTCCTGAAATAACAAGCTTTTGTTATTAAAAAACTTAGGCCCACTTAGTTCTTGGTCTCAGCAGCTAGTCATTGAAAAAAATCAAGAGTAGGGCAGGGCTGCTTCTTGCCTTTATAGTTTTATCATTCTTGTCAAAATGTTGCTTTGGGCTATGAAATGATGCCTATATTCATTCCGAAGATTTGAACTGCCCCTGAAAATATCCATAGCTAAGTAAAAAAAGAAGACAGAACAGCCATTTGTCTGGCTCCAGCGAAGAGCTCTGTTATGGACACATAAGGCTCCTCTTCTCCCAGCTGTACCTCCATCCAGTTGATAAATCTGGCCACATCCTTTCCCACCAACTTGGTGTAGCCTGCGGACACTGGGTAATGCTGCTGAGCCCGGGACAGCCAGTCCACCACAATGACATTGGAGTCTGGTTCCCGCTTGTACAGGGCAGCCACAAGTTTTGGGACCCAACTCTCATACATTCCCGTCACCTGAAAAAGATGACACAAGCGTTGTTAGAATACCCACATTCAACTTGTCATAGATATGTCAGCCCCATACACCTGCATACAATGTAAAGAACAAACCTGCAAGGAAGCCTGTTAGCTCAGACAAAAATCAGATCCCCAAAGAGTATTCCAAGACTTGTGACTGTCTCTCCCCAGGCAAATTTGAATATGCCAAAGAAGAGGTGTGTGGAGCTCAGGAATGGCAGACCATACTTTCGATTTTAAAAGTACATATGATGAATTCTGTAAAATTTTAGCAACCTATACTATAAAAAGAAAGATGGATCTGAATGCAGATTAGGTCTTTGGGAGAACGATTGGGAATATCTGTCTGGAGTATAACCCTGAAGAACTGATCCTACACCATCCCCCCCTCCTCTCTGTGTCTGGGGTGTTGACCACCCTTTGCCTTCAAGATCAAGAGAGGATGCTTGCTGCTGTCTCTTCAGAATGCAATGTTAATTGTTGTTTGTTTCAGCCAGGAGCGGGACCTCCTGGTTCACAATGAGAGTGTTTACAGCAGTGAAATGCAAACAGGTGGCAAAAGCTCCAATGCAGCTGGGTCATGGCTGCATCTGGGATCCACCACATACATGCCACATGCTAAGCATTCTTTTGGGTCTCTTGTGACAAAGCTTGGAGAGCCTCCTGACACCCCTTGGTCTGTGCCCTTGACACTGAGCAGCTTACCTCTGACAGGGCAGGGAAAGCTCATTAGCTCTTGGTTCTTATTATAAGTTTTTCTGTCCTATCCATGTTTCCAAGTTTAGCAATCTAAAAGGGCAAGTAATGCAACTGACTCCTATAGCGGCTGACATAATTTTATTAATTGTGTAACAACCAATCTAAGCCTTTCTTTTCGATTCAGCATAAAATACTGATGTAAATAACCCCAAACAAAGGAGGAGGAAAACCAAGCACTCACCTTCCTCAACTCAGCAAAGGTCTTGTTTTCTTCTGAGGTTCCTTCCATCAGGACCAACTTTTTAAATTTTTGATTCTCAGAGACAAGGTTGGACTGAAGCCCTCCCTGACACCTGCACCCAGGGCTCCAGCTGAACCCACCAGAAAGTTCACTGAGATAAGCTGAGATTAGTGTGGCTGGTATTAGTTATCAAACAGATCACACAGGTCTGTGTGATCTGGAAACTCAGTCCCATAGGCAGAATTTCTGAGCTCAGGCATTTAAAATGTGGAGAATACCAGTGGGCTTAGTGGGCCCATCAGCCCAATGAACCAGAACCATCTTCTGATTTAGGGTTAGGCATGTCATCTTAGGATGAAAGGAAAAGATTTAAAAAAAATTTTTTTTTAAAGACAGATTCTCACTTTATTGCCCTTGGTAGAGTGCCCTGGCATTACACTGCTCACAGCAACCTCCAGCTCTTGGGCTTAGGCGATTCTCTTGTCTCAGCCTCCCAAGTAGCTGGGACAACAGGTGCCCGCCACAATGCCCATTTTTTTCAAAATGTCCTAAAGTATAGAATTTTCTCAAGGATAAGAATGAGATGCCTGAGGAATTCAAATTATTTCTGTGGTATACATTTGTTTGTTAAGCTTAATGTTTTTTTTTTTTCTTGCAATTTTTGGCCAGGACTGGGTTTGAACCCACCACCTCCAGCATATTGGGCCAGCGCCCTGCTCCTTTGAGCTACAGGTGCCACCCATTAAGCTTAATGTTTTAAAAAGAAAGTATTAAAAGGCCAATTCTGTATATATCTGAATGCTTCTACAAGCACCAAAGTTTCCTTTTTCCTATTTAAACCTTATCAAATATAAAATAGGTTGATGTTAGGAATTTCAACTTTTATCGTTAGAATCATACTTTACTATGTTAACTCTAGTAAATGGATATTTTTTCACTTACTGTCCAGCCATGGATCACCACGAAGGTTTTGCTGCTGTGGTTGAAGTGACAGTTGGCCACAGACTCTGTTATTCCAGGAATGAGGTGGCAAGTGTCCTCAGCTGTGTCTTCAGGAGTTCTTAGGGCAAATTTACTTTCAATGTCTTCAAAATCTCTTCCTAGAATCAGAAAAATTGGATAGAATATTAACAAGAGGATTGTGTGTGCTTATTTGATGGAATGGTACATTTTAGCTTCATAAGCAACCACCGCTGATACTATTTTTGTTTCTAAAGTGTTTTTTTCTTTTTTTAAATGAATGTGGATGGCAAGAGAATGAGAGACGCCACAGCGGTGCTCAAAGTTGACGGAAAGAGGTGGCCAAACTTGACCTTAACTGTTCATGAAGCAGCACTGAATTCTCCTGTGTCTTCCAGCCTCTTCTGAAGCAATCTTTAGTCAGGGTGAGTGTGTGTGTGTGTATGATTGCAAGGAAATGAACTGCTATTTGGGGATCCCTTAGACAATTCAATATTCTCTTGAAACATGAATTTAAGTGCCTGGCCAGCCTCGGTTATGCTGCTACTAGTGGGAAAGACAGTGAGGACCAGAACCCCAGTCTCTTGGTTCCCCTTCCCAGCTCATTCTCCTTGAGAACATTAGCTCATGGCTCTTGAGGTTGAAGTGACAGCTGGCTATAGACACTGGGGACTCTTGTGTTATATAGTTCCATTTCTTTTGTGTGTTATTTCACCCTCTTTGAATCTCTAATTACATCAAAAGAATTTTTCCCATAATATTATATCATTAGGCTTGTTTGAAGGAAGGTTGTTTCTTTTTTCATTAGCCTAATTTTAAAAAATATTCACAAAAGAAAAGTTGGTAACACAAGGAAGATTTTGTATGAAATTGTTTTCATCCCTGTGGCAAGATATACCAGTTCAAAATGTTTTAAGGTATCATTCAGTGGGATGTCCAGAAATGCCTGTGCTAACTATGAGCCATCATTCATTCTCTCCTCAAATATTTATTTTCCTATTTAGGTCATAACAATTTTTCACACAAAGTCAAAACTTAAAAACTACAGCAAAGCTGGTAGTATCATAGCAAGGGTCCACATTGGTTCTTCATATTTAATCCCAAACTGGATAAAGAGGAAGAGACAGAGAACCTCACTTTTGAAACTAAGGACAATAAATCTAAATATTGATAAGTCTTCATGGAGATAGTACATACTGTATTAGAGTAAATACTTGAAGTACATTATACTGTAAATAAAATAAGACTCTTTTCAAAGAGCAGAGCACAGTCAGAGGGAAGTTATATTGGGAGAATTATTCTTCTTGTCAAGTAAACAAGCAAAACCAAAAAACTCTACCTATTTCCTATAGAAAGGTAATAATTTGTGGATTTTAGATTTTGCTATTCAAGACTTACAGGAGATAAAAAAAAACTTTTAGGAGATAAATAAATGAGGTTGCAAGGAATACTTCTAAGTTCTTAATCTAAATTTTTTCTTTGTTCACAATTCAAAATTTGAAAATCGATAACTTCAAAATAATACTGCAAAAGTCAGGCCAAGACTAGAAATAAGAATCATATAGTAACAGCGAATGAGTAGGCATTTAAGTCAGACGTTGTATCTGAGGACTGGTCAACAGTTTTCTTTCAATAATTATTTTCCAAAATGACTTGAACACTAGTGGAGTTACTTGCCAAGTGATCATTATGTATGATGAGTTGATCTCACACACACATATTTCCACCACCTAAAATGTAGGAGACAATTTCTTAGAAAGAAGTAAGGTTTATTACAAAAGCTAAGGACTCCAAGATCACTTATTCAAATAAGAGCCTGTGCTCAACTACTGATCTTTAAAGCTCTTTTCATTTCCATATAGGAAAACTGCACTTCCATCCATCCATCTGCCAAAAATATGCTCTACCTACCAAATTATTGGAAGATGTTGGTCTCCTTTCTTCCTAACCAGAAAGCACTCAAGTAGTTTTATGATTTATCTGATAGTGGAAAGAGAATACTGATTTTTTTTTTTTTTTTTTTTTTTTTTTTCAGCTTTTGGCCAGGGCTGGGTTTGAACCCGCCACTTCCAGCATATGGGGCCAGCGCTCTACCCCTTTGAGCCACAGGTACTGCACAAGAATACTGAACATTTTTAATCTAATTCTTCTTTTCAGTGCCCAAGAACTTTTCTGTTAGAAAGTGTTTTTAAAAATTTAAAACTAAATTAATTTCACCCTCCCCCACATCTTTCTACCTCAAATAACTCATACCTCTTCTCCAACTATCTTATTTTAACACATTCTATTATTAATCTTTTTAAAGCAGAGATTCACCTGATAGCTCCCTTACCAATCATTTACCAAACTGATATCAAAGACTATTTCTTTGTACAACTCCAGGGGTTGCCCTTCACTTTTAGTCTGTTTTTCCCTAGAATTATGTAGTTAGTGCCCTTGGTATTGCTGACAGTTTTAAAATGACCAACAATATTCTTTGAAATTACTGAGGCTGGCTTTGTACAAGTATATTTGCACAAAAAGAAAAAGTTTATTCCATCTCTAAGTCCTGCATCAGATTATATATATGGTTCATGGATAGACCAATCTTCTATAACCAGTATTTCTGTTGGGCCCATCATTTGGAAAGAAAAATAATAGGAAATTCACATATTCTCAAGCAAACTTGTATTTGGATACTTTCATTTCACCCTTAGAGGAAATAATTTTTCCTTTTTAAGTTTGATAAGAAAATAGTGTCACTCTATGTGATAGTTTTAATTCTCCATCAGGCATGAAATCGTATGGGTGCTTAGGTGATCTTTCCTTCTCTTTGTGTTCTGGATAAAAAGTTGCACAATATCTGTATTTGCAACCCTTCAAGGATGTCCCAGCATCCTAAAATGTACTTCCAAACCTGTATTAGCTCTCCAGCAAATGGCTTAGACTATGCAGAAAATGGTGGCCCTGGGTCAGTCTGTAAATTACTTGCAGAAAATGGTGGCCCTGGGTCTGTAAATTACAATGCACCCTGGGATTGCTCCTGGGTCACAGATGAACTGATCTGATGTGACCGTGACTCAGGAAATGATTGTTTCCCATACCTGGGGAAGGTATTAGTGATAGAAGTGATCTTATCCAATTAGACTGTCTTTTAGCATATCCCTTAGAAATTAGGGCCACCTTAGAATTGGGAGGGAGATAGAGATAACGAAGGAAGAAAGAAATGAAGAAAGAGTGGCCTCCATCCTGAACTCCACTGAGCATATCATTACCACCTACCAACCAGGCCCCAGCAGAAATGTCCTTATTAAGCACTAGGGGGAGATTTATGGTCCCAGGAAAGTTACAAGTCAATGCATTTCCTATGTAATATTTATCCCTAAGTTCCTAAACAAGATAGCTGAAGATCTGAGCAGGTAAACAAAGATAAAGAATTTATCTTACTATGGATAATAACTCACAGAGATGAAATTGAGCTGAGATGTTAAAGCACGTAGAGAAAGGTAAATTTATGCAGGGCATGTTGTGCTAGAAAAAAAGAAACATGGGACATCCTTCAAAAGGAACAAGTGACGCTCTAAAGCGACATCAGAGCTATCAGATGAATAACATTAACATTAATATTTATATGGAGACACGAGGTAGGAGAGCTCAATTACAATGCAATTCCCTTTGAAATTTCTACTTCCAATCTCTCTCTTATGTGAACACATATGCAAATGCACCCTAAGGATTTCCTTAGTAATTCATTTGCTCTCTGAGACCAATGGTCATAGTTATCAACTCAGATAGTATCTGTAAAACACCAAAACCAAGTTAAAATACTGAACTGGTCAGTTTGGTGAGAGAAAACATCAGAACCATTACCTGACTGAATTGATGGTTTGTTCAGAGAGTGCAGTGTGGACAGTATATAGAAAAAAAATACTTGTTTTAGTGAAGTGGTAAAAATAATTTGTGCTTAACCCCTTGGTTTTTTGTTAAATTTTCTTTACCGTTAAGACCGAACATCCATCCAACTAGCAAGAAGGGTTAAAAAGTAGGTTCAGAGATGGCCCACCCTACTAGCAAGAAGGGTTAAAAAGGGGATTCAGTAAATGGCCCAATGGAATCAGATTTAACATGAACAAGTATGAGCCACCAGCGCTCAAAGGCATCTTCTAGATTAGCTGATGAAATTTGTCATTATGTAGGCATAGTCCAATCAAAATTTTTTTAAACAAAATTGAAATGTGAAATTCTTGTATTGTTTACCTGAAATTACCTACACTTTGTTGATACAGATGGCAAATGGAAACATCCAGTTGTCTCAAACTAATACCATGGAAGTCAATGATTACCTTGATAACAACTGTTTTATTTCAGGGAAAACTGAATAAAGACTTGGACCCTATTTTAATTAAAACATAGGTGAGAACTCTTGGAGGAGTTTTCACCAAAAGAGTCTGACTTTTCATTGTATTTTAAAGCATCTGCAAACTTATATTTTAAGATAAAATTAACCTGAGTCAGAGTAGTCTTGTCCCTACTGGTCTGCACGGAAACAGATTTCATAATCTAAGAAAAACATGCAATTGAGCAGTTTCTGCCAAAGGGTGTGTGCTGTAAAGATGGTGTCTGGATTAGACTGAGTGGCCAATGCCAACTGAGTCATCTTTGTTGTATTTATTCTCCCGTCGGTTAGCAGTGGAGACATCTTCTTTTATTCATTCAAAAAGTCAAAATCACCAAACTATGTAAGATAGCATTTGATTGTTCTGAGAGAACAGATTGGGTGGAGCAAAAAGAATTAGTTGACACGAGTTAAATAAACTCATTTTCAATAGAACATAAAATATATATATACAGGGTGGCCATCAAGTTCGTGTGCAATTTGAAATGAGATTGTGCCACAAACTTTATGGCTACCCTGTATATAAAACCACTTAAGATAATCCATTCCTTCCTAATAGATACTTACTTCCTCCACTAGAACAAACCAACATTTGTTGAGTAGCCAAACTTTGTCACTGCATGTAGACATTTCTTAAAATAGCCACAGGATAGCAGTGTACGCACAGTCCAGAGAACATTGTTCACAGTAAAATTTACGCTTAGTCTCTGAGTAAGCCGGAATCCTGTCGTATCTGTCCTTCAGAAACTAACAGAGCCCTCAGATTTTGCTAAAGGGAATGTGACAAAAGCCACTTGAGACAAAGATTTACTCTCAGCTTAAAAACTCTCTGCTGATATAAAGAAAAATACTTAGCTCACTGTGGTTAAAAAAATATATATATATTTATATGTA